AGTTGAGTGCGGCCCCCTTGAGCGAGGTCGGAAAAACCCCACATAAAATAGCATCATTGTTAATGTAGAGGTTCACCTGTGTCGTATACAGGTCGATGTGCTCATCGGGGTCCGTTGTGCCATCATAGTGATCGAGGTGGAGAGGCTTCCACCCCTGAGGGAGTGGTGTCTCCATGATACCGTCCACAAAGGGATGACGACGAAAGGTTGCTTGACCCCCTGTGACATGAGATGGGGCTTTGCTGACTTCATGGACCGACTTATTCGTCGGAACACGAGACCGATGCAGGGCGGGTCGTGGAGTCGGTGCCCTAGTCGCAGTTCGGGGCTGGGAGACCGAATGCTCTTCTCCCTCGTGGAAGTTGCTTGCTTCAGGAGGATGATCGGAGGGGCGTCGAGGGAGCTGGGCGCGAATCTGCTCGTTTTCAGCGCGTAGCGCCGCTAGGTCAGCTTCATTGGCGGTCCGCATTACTGCTAGGTCGGTTTCGTGCTGGGCACGCATGTTTCGCAGATCAGCATCGTGTTGTTGCCGCATCTGTTCGACCTGGTCGATCAGTCTCCTCAATGTCGCGTCGTTATCCATGGTGGTTGTATGGTTTGCGTCATCTGTTGCGCGTCTGCTATGGCTTTTGGTGAATATCATAAGCGTGGCCAATAAGAACTGTCTTGATCGGCCCCACGGTGGGCGCCAAAATGTTCTTACCGAAAATCTGTCGTAGGGATGATTCTCCGAGTAAGATTGGTGAGCCTCTTTCACTGGTACGTTGATGCTTCAAGATGGGGGTAGTACCTGCAAAAGAGACTCCGATGCTAAAGTTAGGGTTTGTATGAGTATGAGTCTCGTATAAGTAATGCACGTACCTTAGTGTGTGTTAGGGTTGCGTTAGGCCTTGGGCCTTAGATAAGATATGATATGATTGGATGGCGGATCTCGTCTAGACCGAGATCTCCTCAGATTAGTTATGATCTGGTTAAGTGACGAGCTGACGTCACGCAGCGCGTATCCGAAGTCGTCATGCGTTGCGATGCCGAGCTTGGAGCTCGGCCTTGCAATACGGAAAGTACAGTATTATTTATTATAAATTCTATTGGTATATAATAAATATTTAACATGTGAATTACATAAACTTAAAATACTAGTTTAATAAAATCGCCAATATGAACTAAATTAATTAAATTGATTTTTTTTCTTAATTGAATTAAATTCAATTTAAATCAAATAAATTTGACCTTAATTAATTATATATCAATAAAATTTTCATATTTTTATAATAAATTATCAATGTAAGAAGACTATTATATAACTTTGACAATTTAAGTTATTTTTAAGGGACTACCTTAATTTAAGATGTTTAAATTTAGTTATTTTAAATATTGAATGATAAATTTTAAAGAAACGCAACAAATGTTAAAGTTAGCTAAGTTAGACTCGTCTTATTAAATTAATTTTTGATGAATTGATGAACACATGTTAGTTATATTTGGTTTTAATAACATTTGTATGACATTTGGAATTACAAAACTTTTATTTATAGCTTTATATTTATTTTATTTGAAATGTTTAGATTTTATAGTTAATCTATGAATGAGAATCATTTACTTTTTGTGAGAAATCTAAAAGAAACTTTTCACTATCTTTTTTAATTTTTTTATAAAATATTAATTTTAATTATTTTTAAACAAAGTTCACAGGATATGAAGCGTTTGTTTTTCATTAGTATAAATAAATATTATGTTTGAATATTTAAATTATATATAAAATTTTAAATAAATAAATTATATTTTAAATTTATGATAAATAAAAATTATATTTGATATAAAGTTAATCTTTTTTAAAAGATTATCTAAATTTTTTTTTCTAAAAATACTTTTAAACAGTTAACATATATGAGTTGATTATTATAAATTCTTTCAGCTATATATATATATATATAATTAATCCAATCAGTTACTAAATCAAATCAAAAGCAATTTAACAGAAATTTGTTACCAATCCCATCGATTACTACTTGTTGTGTATCTACTTCAATAATCAAATACTTCTCATTTATACGGTACATCTATGCATTTTTTGTGTAAATATTTTTGGACTACGTGGACTTTATAACTACTTTCTAATCACTCTTTTTCTTTTACCATTTTTTCTATTTAACTTTTATTCTTTATTTCGTTTTTATTTATTAATTCACTATTCAAATCTCTCACTTTTTAATAAAGTACATGCTTGGTGTAAAAAACAAAAATACATACTCCATTTTCTCTCTGTTTTCATTTATGAGGATATAAAAGTTATTTTTTTTCTTCGAATTTTACGGATAATAGACATGCCTCTAATACATTAACTAAATTATAAAAATATAAAAAATTTAAAGAATGTAATATTTTTTTAGTTTAACATAATATTTAATTGAAGAGAAGCCCCTTCAAAAATAAAATAAAATAAAATTGAAGAGAAGTAAAATTTCTCTGCATCTAATTTTAGTTCTCATTCAATATTAGGAAGATTTACATTAAAGATGAGAAGTTTTAAAATATTTTTAGTAAAATATTAAAAATATTCTTATTTATGTTTTTAAATTTAAACTTATAATGATATGTTTGTATTTTAAAATTCATTTTCTCTCCTTATGAACCAAATAAGAAAAGAGTTACATCTTTTCTTCTCAACTAAACAAAATTTCTAAATTTTCCACTCTCTTTAATTAAAATCCCTCCCTTCCTTTGAATCAAATAAATTTAAATGAAGTAATTCATTTGTTTAAAAAATTTCAAATTCCTTAAAATGAACATATTTAAAATTTTCCAAAACATAAAAAGATTAATATATTAATTTTAGTAAGAAAATATATATTAACTTTTATAATAACTATTATAAAGAATATATTACAAATTTACAATTGATTTTTATTTATTCATTGTACTAAAAATTATACCAAATTTGGTTTTTCATTGGTCGATTATATGAAAGTTATTTAACTTAATAATTTTTTCATTTTAATTATTTTTAAAGTAATTATTAACATATATATGTATAACAAAATAAAGAAATACCATAATTTGGTTTCCACTTTTTTTTAAGATATATTTATCCATTAGCTAATTTATTTATTTTTTTAATTATTTTTTTATTTTTATTTATCATTTGTGTACTATTTCTTATAAATCAATTTTTATATTTTAAACACGAATTTTTATCAATGATAATATTTTTAAGAGACTTTTCTTTGATAAAAAGATTTTAAGAAAATTTTTAACATCTTATCTAATTTAATTTTTATTTAACATAATTAATTATGCATTAAATTTTAATTATTAAATAAATTATCGACAAATAAAAATAATATTATAATATACATTATTTATTAATAAAATATAATTTTATTTTTTAAAAGTATCTATTTTTACAAATTTTAAATATAATTTATATATACAAATATAATAAATTATATATATTAGTTATATATAATAAATATTTAACCTCTCCACTTAGTATTAACATGTAAACATCAAACATTCAAAATGACGTCATTCTCTTTCCATTGTAATAAATGTAAAAATCTAATAATAAATAATCTTTTTAATCTTAATTTCTCTCTCTCATACTTTATATTTTAATTTTTATTAAAATAAAATACATAAATACACAGAATGTCCCAACCTCCCAACAGTTATTAATAAATAGAATATTCTTTGTAATATAACAAATTTTAAATTAATTTATCTTTATAATTATCAATTTCTTATTTATTTTCCCTTTTTCCAATTTCAACAGTGTTTAGTTTTTAAATCTTTTGTCTATAAATAATAATAGGTCATTAATTTATTATTTCTTAAATACAGATTTTCTCCTAGTTAATTATAATTATTATGAAAAAGATTATTATATGAATTAATTAATGTGGTAGAGATATAGACGTATGCAATAAATGATTGTCCTTGGTTAGCCAAGAAAAAGCAAGAGGAGTGTAGAGTAATGGTATGATAATTTGTTTTGTTTTGATATGATATAGAATCGAAAAAAAGATGCATCTAATCTAAAATCCAAAATGAATTGGAAAATAGAGATGTGAAGACAAATCCAGGAACTAAAACTAAAACAATTAGAAACCCAAGTGGAAGAAGAGTCACACTAGCTTTCTTATTCTATTCGCTTTTCTTTCCTCTGTCGGCTATATATCTGCATCTGTATCTGTTCCCACCCACCTAGAGCGCTACTTTCGTTTCTCATTCCCTTCCGCAATTCTCTGATCTCTACTTTCGATCTGTTCGCCTACGCCTCATTCGACTCTGCATCTCCGTAAGCCAATCCGATTCCGCCATTCTCATTTCATCCGCCTCAGATCCACCTCTTTGTATGCAATTTCACGCCTCTTACTCTTTCCAATTTTGATTTTCACGCAGGGGCCACAATGACGGAGGAGCAGGTGCTCAATGTGCGCGGCCAAGAACCCAATTCAGCCGCCGATCACGCCGCCGTCAAAGCCAACGGACTTCCTCGCGGTGTCGGTGCGTTGGATCTCGCCGCCGACAGCAACGGTGCGGCCGAGGAGCGAGTGGACAAAATCTGCAAGGACGCGCTGTCTAACGGTGTTGCGGAGGAAGGCTCCGAAACGGCCGCGGTTGATGTCGTTTTGCGGGAGGGTGAATTCGATTGCTTAGGTAGTCGGGACGGCGCGGGATCCGTTCGGAACGGCGTCGTGGAGAATGGTGATGGCAGTGCTAATGCTGCTGCGGAGGAGTTGGCTGCGGATCACGACGAGTATGTTGTTGTCGGTGCTTCGGATGTTCAAAACGGCGTCGTTGCGGAGGGCGAGGTTGGCGGTGATGAGAATGTGGACGTGAACGGAGTCGTGGAATGCGGAATTTCCGGAGATGAAAACGGTGTCGTCGTGACTGTTGTGGAGGGAGATGCGCATGTGAATCGAAGTGATCGTGCATTCGAAGGTGTGGTGGTGGTGGACAGAGCCGAGGACGACGAAGTGACTGCTACTGCGGATGAGAGCGCCCAGGTAAGAAGCGAATAACAGTGCAATAGTAATTCAATTTTTTTTATTTATTCCCAAGCTTAATTTTGTATAGTCATTGAAACTAATCTCTCAAATTACAAAAAATGTCAATTTAAGCAAGTTAGTTTATGTCCCTGATTATTCTAAAATTAGTCTGTGAAATAGTTTAGGTCCCTAAGGCGACCAGACGAAAGTCATTTTAGTTGTTGAAATTGTGAAAATAAGGATTAAAATCATTAATTTTTTTTGTCATTTTAAGGGTTGAAATAATATATATATATAT